CCCCCCCCACCCCCGACAGCCGGTCCTTAGACCGCGCCAGCTCCGAAGTCAACTAAATCCGTGCGATGCCCGTTTAGAAATCAACTATTTTTTTAGTGGCTATTTGGGCCACGCTACCCGTTTACCTGCCAGCTGGTGATGACGGAGGCCATGCAGCCCATGTCCAGCAGCGCCATGTGGCGCATGCGGAACCGCCGCCAACGGAACTCGTCGCTGCTCGCGCGCCAGCGGTCCCCGAGCGAGCCGTCGAGGGTGTCCTCGAGGGTGTGGCCGAGTGTTGCGCCGAGGCCGCCCCCGAGGGTGTGCCGGCTGCCGGACAGCACGCCACCGACACTCTTCCTGGCGGCCGGGGCCGTGCTCCTCCGGCGTGCGGACCACGCCAGCCGGGCCTCGTCGCTGGGCATGGCCGCGACGTGCTCGTTGTGGCCCGGGACCCAGGCGCCGGCCGCGCGCAGGGCGCGGAGGCAGTCCTGGCGCAGGTCTCGCGCGAGCTGCCCCGTGAAGCCGGAGAGTGTCAGGACGTAGAGCTGCAGCCCGCCGGAGTACGTGGACCACACTACGCGGGCGAGGGGTATAATCGCGCTGAAAGCAACACTTCAGCCTCACTTACTACGCCCGGCGTCAACCTCAGATTTACCTCCACCCTGCTCTTGAACTCACCGGGCTTTGCCTTTCTCGATCCACCAGACGGCCGTGATCCCGTTGTATAGGCCGTACGACGTGCTGAACAGCGCGATGGCGAGCAGCGCCCTCCAGCCCCGGGGCGAAAGCGGGTGCGAGGCGCAGTATAGGCGCAGGCACTGCGCCAGGGCGCACAGCTCGCCGCGGCGCCGGCAGCGCTCGTACCCCTCCACCGTCCGGAGAACGGCGAGGTACAGCATGACCGCACACTGGAAAATGGTACTTAAGACGTAACGAGGCAAAACGCAAGGACAAATGACGATCTGTGCGTTGAGGTAACGATGACGTTTATACTGACAAGTTGGGATCAAATCAAGAAAACGCTACCTAAAACTACGTTCTATTGTCAATATGTTGTGAATGTCGTCACATGCGTCATACCACGTCATACCTGTAGGTTAATGTTTTGGCCAAGCGCGTGGCGCGGCCAGACTGTTGGGCCGGGGCGGTTACAGTTCTGTACCTTGAACACCGAGTTGCCCGTAGTGGACGGCGAGTCGTCGGCACCCCCGTTCATATTCATGTTCATGTACGAGGACGAGAACAGGAACACGGCCCACGCCAGCGCGCCCGGCCAGGGCCTGGGGTCAGGCCTCCACAGCCAGCCTTGCACGGGCAGCATGCCGAGCAGCGTGGAGCACACGCTGAAGAGCGCCCACACCAGGACCGTCAGCGCCTGGCACACCATCGCGCTACAAAAGTTCAATCCATGCCGCGGACGTGAATATTTTTTTTTTAATAATCTTGCATCTAAAATGCAGAGTTTGAGCTGGCCGTTTGGCCGTTCTTACCGCTGGCCCGCAGCCCGTTCGTTGGGGGGGCACACAACAGCCCGTTCGGGACTGAGGTGCGGAGATTGACTGGCCACTGGCGGCAATATTCCAAAGAGTGTTTCGCTCCTTCGTGTTCGATCGTCCTACTGACAACGCGTGGGAGAGAGAACGGGCGGGGTGGGGTGGAAAG